ACCATCTACCTGAGTGTCTTCAACAGGTCCTTGTTTGCTAACAAAGAGCCCACCAACAGGTCTTTCTTGAAAAATAGATTTTTTATCTCAACGAGATCAACCTGGTTAAATAAATGTCAATAACACACACCGAAAGACAATCTAGAATTCAGGGGTCTAGGGACAGTTTAAGCATCTCAATTCTGACTCTGAAGCATCCCTCTTGAGGTGAAATGTTGCGTTGTGGTCCCGTGTGGCTCAGTTGGTTTAATTCCCATGGGGGACCAGTATGGAAAAATTTAAAATGTATGCACTCACTACTATAAGTTGCTGTAAATCGCTCTGGATAAGAGCATCTGCTAAATGACTGAAATGTAAAAAATAAAATATGAAATTTGTTCTGACTCCTGACATTCATGTTTAACTACAGCTTTCATTGCAGTGATGTGACAAGACAGGGAGATGTGTTACCATCTTACAATCTTGAATGTTCTCCCTCCTCTGCCTCCTCCCACTAAACAGCCTCAACCCTACAGCAGGATGAGGAGATCACTGAAGCAGAGTGTATTTACAAACTGGTATGGATTCGGATCTGCTGATTGACTGTGGGGAATCTGCCTAATTTGAATGTCAAATATAAATTCCAAAAACTGATTCCACATGCAAAGGTTGAGTATTATTCATATGGTGGTGACAATTTTGGGTGAGGCTGTCAGTCAGCTTTTCTTGAACATTTAAAGCTGCAATATGTAACTTTTGGGGCGACTCGACCAAATTCATATAGAAATGTGTGTTATAGATCTATCATTCTCACTGAAAGCAAGTCTAAGAAGCCGTAGATAAGTTCTATGTGTGCTATTTCTATGCTTCCTGTTCTTAAGTTTCGTTTTTTGCTTCATTTACTTTCGGGTTTTGTACACCAGCTTCAAACAGCTGAAAATACAATATCTTTGGTTATGGAAAATATATTTCACAGCAGTTTAGATGGTACAATGATTCTCTACACTATACATACCTGTTTTGTCACATAAACTGAAATTAGGCAAACTATTAGAATTTTAGCAACCATGAAATGCGGTGCGATTTCTGCATTCTGCATCTTTAATGACCCAGGATAGGACACCCTTTGATATAAAAGGTAGGTTCAGTAGTACTATTACATGGGAAACCACTTGGTCACTGACTTGATAATAGGCTTAGGCAGAACTACTCAACACTCACTCAAATACACTCAAACACTCAAATATTCAACCCCCATCCAATCCAGGCTAAAGATATGGCCAGTTCTGATTCTAAACCTCTCTCTTGGGTGGACTGTGGAGTTATTGTCTCATTAATGGCCCTTCTCTTCATCACCATGGCTGCTTTTGGAGAGCTCTGATAACAAGTGTCCAGGGGAACCACCTCTGCCAATCGATCCTGATCCCACGCCTTAATGATCCTCGGAGGAGTACACAGCAAAACACGGCTTTTTCAAAACATGGATTCCGAAGAACATGAAGAAGAGGAACAGAACTACCTTTACCAACTGTGACCATGGTAACAGGGAGATCAGAAGAAAAAAATTTGATTGATCAAACACTGTGTGTGTGTGTGTGTGGTGTGTGTGTGTGTGTGTGTGTGTGTGTGTGTGTGTGTGTGTGTGTGTGTGTGTGTGTGTGTGTGTGTGTGTGTGTGTGTGTGTGTGTGTGTGTGTGTGTGTGTGTGTGTGTGTGTGTGTGTGTGTGTGTGTGTGTGGACATGTTTAGCTATACTTGTGGGGACCAGTAGTACCTGGGGACATTTTGTTAGTCCCCACAAGGTCAAATGCTATTTCTAGGGGGTTTAGGGTTAAGGTTAAAATGAGTGTTAGGGTTAGAATTAGGTTTAGGGTTATGAGCTAGGTTTAGGGTTAAGGTTAGGGTTTGGGGTTAAGGTTAGGATTAGGGTTAAGGTTAGGATAAGGGTTAGGGGTTAGGGAAAATAGTATTTTGAATGAGACTGAATTGTGTGTCCTCACAAGGGGTCTAAAAAGACATGACTAATGACTAATGATATACCGGCTCTATGTTCCTTAGCCCATGTGTGATGGGGAAAACCCTGAGCCTGCATTTCAACCCAAACAATGCCTCCAGCCTGATGGTCTTCCTGCAGTGCTAGAAATATAATTGAATAAGAACCAGTCCCCTAAGAGTATATGGTCTAAGAGGGAAACCATGAAAACAAACCCAAAGATACCACACACTGGGCAATATCTGGTTGCTTCAACGTTTTTTTCATGTCATTTCAACCAAAATATTTAATGTGATGATGTTGAATCAACATGGAAAACTGATTGGATTTGAAAAAAGTCATCAACGTAAGGGAATTGTCTTTTTTTCACCTACCTTTTTACCTAAATCCAATGATATGGTGAATTGTTTTGTTGATTTCACGTGGAAGTGACTTTAGTTGACAACTTAACCAAATGTAAATCAAAACTAGATGTTGAACTGTGCCTAGTGGGTGGATTATGGTACATCTGCCTTGTATCCGTCAGCTTTAAATTATGCAGTTCGCTTGCAGAGCACTTATCTGGCTCTTTCCTATATCTGTTTTTCTACCTCTTCCATGACCACCCCTCTTCTCTCTCTCTCTCTCTCTCTCTCTCTCTCTCTCTCTCTCTCTCTGTCTCTCTCTCTCTCTCTCTCTCTCTCTCTATATATATATATATATATATGGTGTGAAGCTAATCACCCCCCCCCCCCCCCCCCTCAATCCCCCTCTTTCTTCACAGACATGGTCACATTTTTCCTCCTCTCTAGACATTCCATACACTTTCTCTGCAGCAGCTTATGCACATAGAGAGCATGTTAGAGAGAGAGGGGGGGGGGGGGGGGGGGGCGCGCAAGGGTGTCGACCAATCGCTACGGGTGGTTGCTCATGTATGAGGAGCCAGCTGCAGATATCGCAAGCAGTCCATTCAGTCTTATCTCCCCTCCCCCATTTAATCCCCATGCTTCAAGACTTTGGCAAGAGTTGGAGATGGTGGTATTGGGAGTACTATCATAATTTCAGGGTTTCTCAGTATAGTCAGTGTTTCCCCTAGATTTTTCCCTAGTCCATGGTTGGTTTTGGTTTTAATCTCAATATTATTGTGGTTCAGATAACCCTCACCCCCATTGTCAATATGCCCTGGGGAGGAGGTTGAAACATCACACATCAAACACCACCTGACTAACAATGGCACAACCATCAGGAAAGAATAAGCCTTAAAATCAATCTCCCTGATTTTAGTCAGGTCTGGAGTGGTGGCACATCAAGCACTGATGTGTTTCTCTCAAATCCTGCAGCAACGCCCAGGGATGAGATGAGAGGAAGCTTACTGCAACCACAGTATCTCCCAAATGACATACCAGGGCTCTTCTCCCACAATACAACTGCAACAAGAAGCATCCAGACCTGAGAGAATGAACTGTAGTCTGCCACCAGTCTCATTGATAAGAGGAACTTACTGCACAGGGGTGTGTAGAGACATTGATGGAGGAATGGAGGCTGCATGAAGCTTTACCACCATCAGTGGTTATTAATGGACCACATTATTCATGAATGAAACTGATAAGAAATTGAAATAGGTCAAGTAATCATTAGCCTATACCAATTAATCAGCATATGTGATGCTGTATTTTACAACAGACAGCCTGTAATATCAGTTTTATTGAAGTGATATATGCTAAACATAAAATGACGTCAGTAAAGCTTACTGTTTAGTAGGATGTATGGCATAGCATACTATTGGTATTCAAGTAATTTCACTCAGTAAAGCATTTGTTACAGCTACAAAATAAAACGCTATCTGTTCACTTGACCTCGTATTCAAAACATTTTCAAAAATGTAGATAAAACTCTGATCCATTGGGTATTTTTATACAGATAGCATCATATTGCATGCCATAGGTCTATGTAATAAAATTCGATACTTTTCTAATTAAAATACATTTTCAATGAGATTATTTGAAAACTGAAGATAAACTGAAGCCCAGCGCTCCATAAATGTTTCAACATAAGTGATGGAGATGCTGTGACTTAGAACCAGCCAGTCCTCATATGTAATGTTATTTTATTAATGCAACTGCATTTTGCAAAAAAATCTTTCATTGAAGCAACCTGAACTGCAATACGTGAAATGTAGCCTATTGCTCACAATAGATGCAGACCTTTAGAAAACCGTAGCAAGCCTACCTGAGATTTCAGCCCTCTATCGAAGGAAGATGTCAGGGAATGATGCGGACTAATTTTATACTGTACTGGAATCAACCGCAAACCGTTCATTGCGCATGCAACGACTGTCACAAGCCAATTTTTTGGTCAAGGGGTGCTTCTCAATTCATTTAGACACCGTCGCCAGGAGCCGATCTCCACACTATGCGCCCTGAGTGAGCTCCTCTCCTCCGTGGTAAAGCCTTGGTACCCTGGGAAGGAGACCCCTGCATCCAAGTAGGCTACCATTGATGCTCAAGTAGTGGTTCTTAACTGGTTATACTTTACATTTGTCTTGGTTTCTTGTTTCTAAATTGCAACTAACTATTTAATTGATTGGCTACACTAGCCCAATGAAAGTAAACACTTTCAGTTAAAACTGTCTAATAGCCTAGACTTCAACCTTATTTTCATGGATGCTCAATCAGCCTGCAGGTCGGGGTAACATATGAAGTTTTTGTTTTCCCTCCATCAAAAGGCCACATTAGTTGCATGTCTGTGTTTTATAGGCTACATCAACTGGCCCTGGTCATCTACAACATTTGTCGCTAGAGGCACATCGTTATACTATTGCCACACTTTATCCTCGATTTTTGGTCTTAAATTGATTTGTTCATGTTAAATGGACCGCCCGTCTCTAAATGCCTTTCTCCGCATCTGATTTTACAGTTGCGGTATAACTAGAGGATTCATTGTGTGTATATATAACGCCATCTATTGGACAGAATATTTATTACAGCTCAAAGATCAACGCTTTTGGGTCACATGGTGCATTCACACACACGCTTAACCACTAGCAGTCACCTGACTCTCCCTACTGTCAGAGCAAAAATGTCTGCGCACTTATCCTATGGAAGAGTAAATTTAAACATTTTGAGGGAAGCAGCGCGGAAGGAGCTCCGTGAGTTTTTGGACAAATGTGGAGGAAGCAAGGTAAAACGCCTGCATTAAAGCGTTTAGAAATTACAAACTAATTTACCTTGTTTTAATCTGAAATTTCTGTTCAACACTAGCTAGCATGCTAAGCTATCATCCACATAAACAATGATGGGGTTGTTGTGGTACATAGTCATCCACATAGTTAGTCATGTTAGCTAGCTAGCTAAATAGATGCAGTGTATTTATGTGGCAAAAATTGTTGTTGACTGTCCATAGGCTATTGTGTGGGATGAATACCTGACTGGACCCTTTGGATTGATAGCACAATATTCATTGTTGAAGGTAAGACTGACTAAAATGTGTACTTCTGTGTGTACTGTAGACCTACAGAATAGCAACAATGAATGCTTGTGTTTGCTTAGGCTTTAGAAGGCTCACATTACAGCAAGAGCAAAATGCCAAACTGGTTGTTGACAGATCTAAGTTTTCTTTATATTTTCTAGGAACATGAGGTGGAGAAGATGTTCACCCTCAAAGGGGGGCGTCTCCCTGCTGCTGACGTGAAAAATATCATCTTCTTTGTCCGTCCCAGGCTTGAGCTGATGGATATTATAGCTGAAAATGTAATCAGGTCAGTATCCCACTGTCTCACTGGCACTAAACACTTTTATTGATTTTGGAGTAATGCTGCAGCCAGTATTGCATATGGGTGGATGTGGATGTTGTTTTTTTACCCTCATATAGCGTATCTCTTGTGTTCAATGTGTGTTCCTGTAGTGAGGATAAGATGCATTCCCCACGTGATTTCCACATCTTGTTTGTGCCACGGCGGAGCATGCTCTGTGAGCAGCGGCTGAAAGAGCAGGGGGTCCTGGGCTCGTTCATCAACATAGATGAGTACATCCTAGACCTCATCCCCTATGATGGAGACCTGCTCTCCATGGAGTCTGAGGGGGCCTTCAGGGTAGGTTAGGACAGAGACATGCACATTAACACTACACACGTCCCAGTGTATGCATAGGCTCAGGTACAAAGCTATCTTTTGTATTAATGTGCCCTGCCCGGCTCCTTTAGGAGTGCAATCTGGAAAGTGACCAGACAAGTCTGTACCACACCGCCAAGGGCCTTATGACTCTCCAGGCTCTGTATGGGACCATCCCGCAGATATTTGGGAAAGGGGAGTGTGCACGGGTGAGTATTGGAAAATACTTAATTTGCAGTTTAAATGTCCACATTTTGTTTTAAAACAGACTCTTTGATAAATGCGTTGTGTTGGAAATGAAACTCTCATGTCTTTTCCCTGTGAAGCATGTAGCTAACATGATGCTTAGGATGAAAAGGGAGTTTGCTGGCAGCCAGAATCAGATCCTACCTGTGTTTGACTCACTGCTGCTGCTGGACCGCAACGTAGACCTGCTCACCCCTTTGGCCACACAGCTCACCTATGAGGGCCTCATTGACGAAGTCTATGGAATCACCAACGGTGAGGATGGGCCTCTGTTAATGCATGAAAAAACAATGCAAGCTAAATACAGACATAATCAATTCAAATTGCCATTTTAGTCATTTAGCAGACGCTCTTATCCAGAGCGACTTACAATTAGTGAGTGCATACATTTTTATACGGGCCAGTATGACATATAGATTCAAATACAGACATCTTGAGGGGTTTCTGTCGATTTGTGTATGTGGTTTGTGACCTTTGTGTGCTTTGTCTGCATGTGTATCTATTCTGTGTGCATGTGTCTGCAAACAGGTTATGTGAAGTTGCCTCCTGAGAAGTTTTCTGCCCAAAAGAAGCAGGGTGAGGCGGGTAAAGACCTGCCCACAGAGCCCAAGAAGATGCAGCTCAACTCAGCAGAGGAGCTGTATGCTGAGATACGGGACAAAAACTTCAATGGTGTAGGGGCTGCACTGAGCAAGAAGGCCAAGATCATCTCCGCTGCCTTTGAGGTTGGTCTCATCCCAACACACACACACACAGGCAGACAGACTGGTAAAAACTATCTCAGATAAGTCCTAATGTCAGACCACATAAGCTAGAGTTGTCATCGACCTGAAAATGTTAGCCAAGCCCTGTGAGCTGAAGCCCGAGCCCCGGCCCAACATCACAGACATTTTATGAATCCGAAAAAAAGCCAGAGTAAAAAAAAAAAAAGATATTGATTTAAACTGATGTTGAGAACAATGCGGCGGAGGCAGGCGGCAGCGGAGTGAGGAGACAAGGAAACAGTCCTTGTCTTAGAAAGGCGAGGGGTTTCTTTCTTGGAACATATGGGAATTGGCTCCAATTTCATTCATATGATTAAAATACTATATGCCAATCCCTCAGCCATAGTTATAACAGGCAATATCTGCTCTGCGCTGTTCAGAATCACTAGAAGCAGCAGACAAGGCGATCCAATTTCACCTCTGCCTTTCTTATTATCCATGGAACCTCTGGCCCAGGCAATTCGTCAATCGAAGGAAATAACACGCATTTCTCTCAAATCTACTGATCACTTCATCTCATTATACGCAGACGATATTTTACTATAGACAATGTATCTCAATCGCGTTGAAACGCATTGAAGATCATAGATAAATTCAGCTTAATCTCAAGTTATAAAATGTATGTAACCAAATCAGCCCTACTGCCTCTGAAGACCCCGATGGAGGAATCCATCTCTACTTATGGAATCCAATCGTTTCCCATTATACATATTTGGGAGTAGATATATTTCCTTCTTTAAATGAAACCATTGCCAGAAACTTTAACAGAGCGCTCAAATCAATTCAATCCGACCTCCGTAGATGGAATAATATCTCTGTTGCTTTAACCAGCAGAATAACTATTGTCAAAATGAATATATTGCCACGGCTGAATTTCTGTAGTTCAATGCTTCCCATGGCTCCCCCTTTTGGCTATTGGGATAAAATTCATAGTGCGGTTTCAAAATGTATATGACAAGGTAAACGATCCCGGATAAAATGTACAAATTTACAAAGAGGGAAAGATGTAGGGAGGGGGAGAGATTTAGAGAGCGCAGTAGTAGAATCCAAGGTGCGCTAGTAGTCGAACAGGCACGCAAGGTCTTTTTTTTCCTTCTTTATTTACAGCGTGGCAAGTCCAAACCCCGTCCAGCCCAAATAAATTCTGAGAAATTCTGGCCCAGCCCAAGCCCATCGGGTACTGTTGGGCTCATCGGGTTCGGGCTGAAAATGACAACTATATCTTAAGCTCATTTAAGTCGCTCTGGACAAGAGCGTCTGCTAAATTACTCTTAATGTAAATGTAATTACATTAGCTACCGATTTCTCTAATCATATTAATTTGTGTTCTTATTCATCACCTTCGATGTGCCAGGTAGACCTTTCAGAAGGTGGATTTCCAATGGTAAAAAGTAAAGCCAGCTGACAATTAGTATTATCGACATTAGTATTATCGACGAAGACCGTAAACAAAATGTTTATGATACAAGTGTCAGATAAGAGCAACAAAAAAAGCTGTTTTCTACTGTGTTTAGGTTATGTGTAATCTCCCTACAGGCTTGCACTTTTGTCAGCAAGATACTTTTTGGCATCATAACTGTCACTGGATGCTTTGCATGTGATAATTAGGCTGACGTCTCACACCGGTGGCTATTTCAGTTGATGTACTCTTACATTTCTGTCCTGCCCAAACCTGTTCCTAATCAAAGTTTATTTTCTCTAGTTTGATGAATGATGACTGTATCAGTGAGAGCATCAGCTGTTCTCCAGCCAACAAACCATTTCTTACTACTGTTATGCCTACATGGCAGCAGCCATACTGTATGTTTAATCTGAAATCATCCCCACATATTTGCTTTGAGCTTAATGTCTGTTTATTGTGTATTTGAGAAGTAGATTTTTTGTAATTTCCTAGGGGATTTTAGTCATCTCTCAAACAGTTCTCACATTTCACAACATCCGTATGTAACACTACACAGTCCTTGTTAAAGTTTATCATACATTTTCCTTACCTCAAACCCACAGCATCCAATATCTGACTTATGGTAATGTGTGATCTAAACTGCCTACGACTGACCTGTGTAATTTCTTCCAGTGTTTAATGTTATTTAATTGAATTTGTCTTGCAGGAGCGCCATAGTGCCAAAACAGTGGGCGAGATAAAGCAGTTTGTGTCCCAGCTGCCCCACATGCAGGCAGCACGGAGCTCGCTGGCCAATCACACCTCCATAGCTGAGCTTATCAAGGACATCACCAGTGAGAAAAACAACTTTCACTTCTTCTCCTTTCATGTCCAACTACCACCTCTACATTCCTCTTCCCTCCGCTCTATCTGTCTTAATCTGTCTTTCTTCCTGATACAAGATATACCTACAGAATAATCTGATCTTGATAAAATGTAATGTGGTAGAGTATATCAGTATGTCATGTGAGTATGTGTGGCGTACAGTTTAGTTTAAGACGGCTGTTGATACTCTGTAACAGAGGTAAATGGATATTCTCTCTCTCTCTGATACAGCCTCTGAGGCCTTCTTTGAAAACCTGACAGTGGAGCAGGAGTTTATGACTGGAGTCGATACAGACAAGGTAGGTACACAATGTTTTCAGTGCTTTGTCGACATGTGGTTAGCTCCAATGGTGGAAAAAGGATCCAATTGTCATTCTTGAGTAAAAGTAAAGATACCTTAATAGAAAATGACTCAAGTAAAAGTGAAAGTCACCCAGGAAAATACTACTTGAGTAAAAGTCTAAAAGTATTTGGTTTTAAATATACTTAAGTATCAAAAGTAAATGTAATTGCTCAAATATACTTATTTATCAAAAGTAAAAGTATACATATTTTCAAATCCCTTATATTAGGCAAACCAGACAGCACAATTTTCTTGTTTTTTTAAATTTACAGATAGCCAGGGGCACACTCCAACACTCAGACATAATTTACAAACGAAACATTTGTGTTTAGTGAATCCGCCAGATCAGATGCAGTAGGGATGACCAGAGATGTTATTTTGTTAAGTGTGTGAATTGGACCATTTTCCTGTCCTGCTAAGCATTCAAAATGTAACGAGTACTTTTGGGTTTCAGGGAAAATGTATGGAGTAAAAAGTACATTATTTTCTTTAGGAATGTAGTGAAGTAAAAGTTGCCCAAAATATAAATAGTAAAGTACAGCTACCCCAAAAAACGATTTAAGTAGTGCTTTAAAGTCTTTTTTACTTAAGTACTTTACACTACTGGTTAGCTCTGATATTGGAAGCTGCTGGGGGAGCCCCACCTCCAGCTGGGGGGGCCCCACCCCCAAACTCAGTCAGGGTCTCAATTTACTGTTGAGAGTTAGAATAGTAGAATACGCAAGGTGCAATTTAGAAATGTGGTACTGCATCACCAGTTTTTCTCTTCTAATGTCAGTCACTGACAGTCACTCAATTAGACCATGTCAACAAAAAATATATACATTGTTAAGTTAGTCTAACTGGCTATTTACACCTTGTAGTAATCATGGCCGAATTACTGATCAGGCATGTGCCCAGTGGCCCTGATTTTGTTAGTCAGTCACTCTCACTAAGATATCATATGAACATGGCATAAGTCAGTTATGTTATGCTATGTTCAGTTATGCCATGTTTTAAAAACGGCAACAATTTCTCTCCGCCCCATGGCAAAATGTGTAGAATTTCAGAAAATTATATATCTCCGCCGTCAAGAGGGGGATCACTAAAATGTTTTACCAGCGAGGTGGGGGGCCCCCAAACCAATTCTCGCATAGGGTCCCCAAAAAGTTACGGCCGGCCCTGAAAGCTGCCTTAATAAACATATTTTTTTGCTTTGTCCCTGTGTGTGTGTGTGTGTGTGTGCGCATTTCTGTTCTTGCTAATCAACATCCCCTATTTACCATTCTCCAGGTTAACACATACATAGAGGACTGCATCGCCCAGAAGGATCCCCTAATCAAAATCCTGCGGCTGGTCTGTATGCAGTCGGTCTGCAACAATGGCCTCAAGCAGAAGATGTTGGACTACTACAAGAGGGAGATCCTGCAGGTGCATTTTTTTCTGATTACATTACAATACATCAGTGGTTTAAAACGAGTGATGGTCGTTTGAAGATGAGATGAATGCTACTGTGGCAACATGATTGACCTGTGCTGTTTTTCTCCAGACTTATGGATATGAACACATGCTTACCCTCAACAACCTGGAGAAGACAGGTCTGCTGAAGCCCCAGACAAGCACCAGGAATAACTACCCCACCATCAGGAAGACACTCAAACTCTGGATGGAGGATGCCAATGAACAGGTGAATGAATCCCATAACGCAGTCTGGATGAGGGGAGGGGTAGTAACACGAACACCTGTGTAACAACACTGTAATTATTCTAGTGACATGTTAGTAATATAGTCATTGCTTTGTAATTGCACAATAATGGAGTTGAGTTGTTTTTGTCATTAAGTTCCGTAATTTTCGGACTATAAGCCGCGCCTTTTTTCAAATTTTTCGACCCTGCGGCTTATATAATGGTGCGGCTAATCTATGGAAGACCTCCTAAATCTATGGATTTTACAGGTTACAGTCCACCAACTTTAACTCTATGGGCTCTATGACCGGTCCGTGCCCCCCACCTTTAAGCGGCGGGCTCCAGCAGGAAAAGCTGGAGGCCGGAAGAGAAAGAGTGAGACAGGTAGCGCGCAAAAGTAAAAGTGGAACCGAGAGTGGAACGAGAGACAGAACGAGAGCAAGACAGACAGACATTACGAGAGCGAGACAGTTTGTCTCTTTCCCGACAATCCCCTCTGTGCACGAACCCTTACATATGGTAATTAAACATTAAAACACCTGCGGCTTATAGTCCAGTGCGGCTTATATATGTACACATCATTCAATATCATTCAATTTAGCTGCTGCGGCTTATACTCCGGTGCGCCTTATAGTGCGGAAAATACGGTAAGATGAAAAAAATTAAAAATTAATTTGTAAAACAACGTTCCCAAAACGTACATGCATAGTTTTTCTCCGACTGTGAGAGTGGGATTTGTATGTAGTATTGACTGTAGTATTGTCTGTACTGATACCTAGCTTGTGTGTGTGTGTCATCTTCTTCCAGAACCCCAATGACATTTCCTATGTGTACAGTGGCTATGCTCCTCTTAGCATCCGTCTGACCCAGGTGTTGGCCAGGCCCGGCTGGCGCAGCATCGAGGAGGTTCTGAAGATGCTCCCTGGTCCACACTTTGAGGAGAGACAACAGCTGCCTGCTGGCCTCCATAAGAAACGTAAGGACCGCAGGAGACCAAGGCAGCCAGTTGCTCTCTTGCTCAACAAGCTGAGCTATTGAAAGGCTGAGTGAATGATCACCTGTGTGGTGATCTGCTGGCTGTAGAGAAGAGCTGGCTTTGTCCCTGCCATGTCAAATCAAATCACATTTTATTGGTCACATACACATATTTAGCAGATGTTACTGCGGGTGTAGCGGAATGCTTGTGTTCCTAGCTCCAACAGTGCAGTAGTATTCAAAAAATTCACAACAATACACAAATCTAAAAGTAAAAGAATAAAATATAAATATTAGGACGAGCAATGTCGGAGTGGCATTGACTAAATACAGTAGAATAGAATACAGTATATACATATGAGATGAGAAAAACAGTATGTAAACATTATTAACCTCTACGGGATCGGTGTCCCGTATACGGGACGGTTGAGCTAACGTGCGCTAATGTGATTAGCATGACTGTTGTAAGTAACAGCAAACTTTCCAGGATATAGACATGTCTTATATGGGCATTAAGCTTAAATTCTTGTTAATCTAACTGCACTGTCCAATTTACAGTAGCTATTACAGTGAAAAAATACCATGCTATGGTTTGAGGAGAGTGCACAACAACAAAAAACGTATCACGGCAACTGGTTTGATACATTCACCTCTGAAGGTAAATAATGTACTTACATTCAGTAATCTTGCTCTGATTTGTCATCCTAAGGGTCCCAGAGATAAAATGTAGCATAGTTTTGTTTGATAAATATTCAAATGTAGGAACTGAGTTCTACAGATTCAACCCCTGCTGTCTCTGGCTCCACATCCACCCCGCCTGGCCATCTAGATGTGTGAAAGTTAGTGTATAAGCTAATGATCCATCATGTATGACATTCCTGGGAGTGTGTAAACTTACATTTTGTATTACCATATCATTTTTGTATGTTCTCTATAGTTATGTACTTGAAAATGTATCAGTTGACCAATTCGGCACATTTGGGCAGACTTGATACAAAATAGTCCAGTATTGCAATGGTTCACTGGATCAATCTGAAAGTTTGCACACACACTGCCAAAATGTGGCCAAAATCTAAATTGTGCCTAAACTGCAATATTATATTGTGGCCTTTCTCTTGTATTTCAAAGATGATAGAACAACAACAACAAAAAACGCATGTTTTTTTGTTTGTATTTTCTTTTACCAGATCTAATGTGTTATATTATCCTACATTAATTTCACATTTCCACAAACTTCAAAGTGTTTCCTTTCAAATGGTATCAAGAATATGCATATCCTTGCTTCAGGTCCTGAGCTACAGGCAGTTAGATTTGGGTATGTAATGTTAGACGAAAATTGAAAAAAAGGGTCCGATCCTTAAGAGGTTTTTTAAAGTGACTAGTGTTCCATTATTAAAGTGACCAGTGATTCCATGTCTATGTACATAGGGCAGCAGCCTCTTAAGGTGCAGGGTTGAGTAACTGGGTGGTAGCCGGCTAGTGATGGCTATTTAACAGTCTGATGGCCTTGAGTTAGAAGCTGTTTTTCAGTCTCTCTGTCCCAGCTTTGATGCACCTGTACTGACCTCGCCTTCTGGATGATAGCGGGGGAACAGGCCGTGGCTTGGGTGGTTGATGTCCTTGATGATCTTTTTGGCCTTCCTGTGACATCGGGTGCTGTAGGTGTCCTGGATGTCAGATATCTTAGAGCAGCAGTTGATTTATTGTACACAGTGAACAAAACTGGACCTTACCATTAAGTGTGTGTCTGTTTGGGTAATTGTTTGTGTACATGTATTTGTTTATGAAAGAGGAGGGGCAAAGGCACTGTTGACCGTTCAAAGATCAGGGAGTGGAATATCCCTCTCATTTTAAGCATTATAACTGTGGGTTACTGACTCCAGGGTCAGTTTGGACATCTCACTGACATGAGGATCATTAATTTGGTGAGATGCCTTTCACACCATGCAATGTTATTAGAACTAAGTTTGGTATTAGACAGTTTACTTGTTCTTACATGTCTGCCATATCTTTGTTCTAGAAAGGTGATAATGGAAGACAATAAACAAGCCTGTTGTAGCAGGAGAATGGCAGAGTTTGTTTGAGATTTGAGAGAATAGTATGTGGGTGGGGACATGGGAGGATGGGGGTTGAATAGTAGTGTCTCTTACTTTCTTTGTGTGTTTACATGTACAATATCGGTTTTTGAGGTTATCAAAGTAACCTCACTTCAAAACAAACATTCTGCTAAATAATAATAATAATTTGGTGTGTGCTTATATTTGTCCTGTCACATGTACAAGTGTGTATTATACGCATGTGTGAAATGGAAATGTGTTTTTTTTGCATATCCCAACTCCCCCTGAGACACCCTCTGAGTGTGGTGCACCCTGTGATCTCCACCCTGTTTGACTGTTTGCTTTCCCCACCCACAGGCCAGCAGGGGGAGAACAGGACCACACTGGTGTTCTTTCTGGGAGGGGTGACATACGCGGAAATCGCTGCCCTGCGCTTCCTGTCTCAGATGGAGGATGGTGGCACAGAATACATCATTGCCACCACCAAGCTCATCAATGGTACCAGCTGGATCAAATCCCTGATGGACCGCCCTGAGGCCCAGGCCCCCTGAGCCCGCTGTCTGCCCCCCTCGGGGGAACAGATACACTGCTGGACCCAACAGTCAGTCAGAACAAAAGACCTTGCCGCTTGTTTTTAATGTCCATATTCCAGTGCCCTGCAGGTGTGTCTGATTGAGCTCTGCAACTGTCAGTGTGAGCAGAAGTCAGCTCCTCAATTTTCTATGTCTTTCTTCTGCAACTCTCACAGCTTGCTAAATGTACTTCTCCATTGTCACCTGTTGTGGTCATTGTATGGAGCCAAGAAGATGTCATCTTACTTGGGGCATGATCATATGAAAGGTTCTAAGATCATTGTAAAAAATAATACTGTATTTACACAGAGGCTGAAATGTAGTTGTTTGTATTATTGTTTATTAGGGATTTCAACCTATATTTTCTGTGTTGTACAGTATAGGGCTTTTCTCTCTCCTTTCCATTATTTGTGTAAAAAGTATTGTAAATAAAATGTGTAATTGACAGCTTATAACTGCTTTTATAACCAGAGTTAACCTCAGGTCTCTAAAACACTGACCATTTTAACATTTATCCTTCCACTCTACAATGTGACCAAATGTCTGATGTACAGTTGGACAGTCTGACTTTGGCTGCACCTCCATTACACTATCCCTACTCCACCTTCAACATGTAGGATCAAAAATCGTTGATAAAGATGAATTAGGGTACATGCATTGTTACTTTAGAGTTGTTTATGCTGTAGAAGAAAATAAAGATGGGACAGAATGATGCAGGCAGGGAGGAGAGGAGTGGAGTGGAAAGGTTGAGAGCCCAGTCAGCCGTCAGGAGTTCAGCTCTCTCAAGGAACAATTAGCCCAATAACAGGCCTCCTGATCAGCCGATAATGGCCCTCTGCTGTGCAGGCCCATGATTTGACTGCGCAGGACGCTGATTGAACTAGGAAGCCATTTGCTCCATGTTCCGGTAGAGGATAAGTGCGGTGGGTTTGATCTCCTGGCTAGATCAATGGTTTCTCCGTGCCCTGCGCTATGGACAGCGGGATATTGTAGTCAGTGGGGGACGGGTATTGACAGGCTGACAGCAGTCTGAGATTTTTGTGAACTCACAGTCCAGGTCGAAAATAATATATATTATCTTCAAGCTAGCTAAGAGTCAGGAACTGACTGAAATATCACATGAAGATATTTGTGGTATTGCATTTTCTTTTCGGTTTGGCAAATGTATGATAACACAATTGACCACATCGAAACCCGTGCACTGAGAGCATCTGCAACAAATGCAATTTCAAACAAGTTAAAAATAGGCTATACAAAGGCTTCCGATTGGGTAAGTAGCCTAACCATTTTTAGGCAGTTTATAGATATTGACAACGTTATAACGATATGTTCATTGGTTGTATCCATGTTTAGTTAGAAGTGTCAAAGTTGCGTCAATTCAAATCTGGCATTAGGAACAAAAGAGGTCAACACGACTTCTAAGATATACTAGTTATTTTAATTAATGCAAAAACCTTCAATGGTAAATATGATGTTTCGTATATACGGGCTCTTTGAAATACCTCGCAGGGCACCCCAGAGAACTAAAACATTGTTTTAGATTCAATACTCAAATACTCTGACAGAGAGAGTTTCCCACTTCTCTGCTGGCCAATTAGAGTAAAGACTTGAGCGTGGTTTAGACTTACTCAGCCTATCCGTTGATGCACCTCTGTTGCCAGGCATATGTCCATATCATAACAACCTGTCATAGTGAGAAGAGCCAGCTCCCTTAGACACCATTCCTACGTCCAAGGAAGGTTCACAGATCACAAAGAACCAGTATATTCCAGCATCTGGAGACACAAATCCTTATCTCCCTTTACCCCCTAAAACAGCTCTTCACATCAATCACAGCTTGCCAGGTGTCACAACCTACATTAGCACAGTCCAGAATGCATTCTTTCTAAGTTAGTCATCCCATCAATTTAGGAGAATAATAAATCCCCAATAATCCCCCTTTTCACACCTACTAAGGTGTGATTCAAAAAATAAGAAAACACAGGGTGTCATTCATTATAATACAATACAAACAAAAAGAATCACACTTTTATTAATAGGCCATAATGATACAAAAAAATTAAAACCCTCAGTCCATCTACACCCAACTTGCAAACTGTTACCAGTCACCAAAGAACTTCAAACCATCACATAAGGAAAGACAAACATTCACATGGTTAACTTGATTAATAAAGCATAAAACACAGGATTAATAGAACACAAAACATAAGATTATTAAAACATAAAACACAAACAGAGAAGTACATTTTGACTCCCTTTTGACACCCTCTAGGGTGTGATTCCAAAAATGTGAAAGGGAAAATTTAAGATTCCCTTTGTTGACACCATTTATGGTGTCACTCCAAATAACAGTTTGAACAGAATATAAACAACCCTGAGTATAACAGGATATGGAAATTAAATCACATCAAAAATGTTAATAAACGAAAAATAATAATTTTAACCCTCTATTTCTCCCCTACACCTAACATGTACTGAGTTGGCTACCAGCCACCCAGGAATCCTTTACCTTCACCTCAGGAGGAATAAACAATCACAGTGGTTAGTAAAAACACAAGGTAATAAATGAGCAAAAACTGAAAATAAATGCGTGTACATATTTTACTAGGCAAACCATGGATCATCCAACTTGGTCTCAGAGTCAGTGGCAGAGCCACCCGCAACATCCTGGGCCGGCAACAACGGCATCACTACTGACACCCGCACCACTCCTAACACTGACTTCCTGAGACAGGGAATGATACAAGCAGCACAACACATCAACAACAAAAACACAATTACTAGGGTCAGAAATCCAGTAACCACCATAGAAGAATACTTACCGAACCAGTCACTTAACCAGGAGAACAGCCCACCACTCCCCACTCCAGCCATGCTCTTCATTTCTGCTGACAACTTATCCAGGCCAACTAGGGCCTTTGTGATGCTCCCGTCCGGGCTAGTATTGTTAGGAATAAACGTACAGCATTGTTCCCCAAACATCTTACACCCACCCCCTTGGTTAGCAAGCAACATGTAAAGTGCTAGTCTATTTTGCCTAGCCACCCTAGAGGTGGCGTCTAGTTGTTCCGACATTCCAGTCAGGGCAGTGCGTGTATAGTTAACAAATCGCTGTTGGTTATAATAGATGTAATTTATCCAAGTAGGCTGTTTAGCAGCATCTATGGCAGGTCCTATGATTGGCAACAAATGCCACAACCCATCATTCCTGTTGAGTGCCTGGAACTGTAATGGTACTCCCACAGGCACCCCCAACAGGTTAGAGTGGATCTCCTCTCCTGCTGACCATGGGGCACTACGTTTCCCCCGCCTCATTCTCTCTCTGTCTGGGGCTAGCTGGGCGATGCCCAAAAGTTGGTCTGAGGAAACATCAATAATGGTCAGAGGTACAATCAAACTGGCTAATGCACACGTGCACTGCCAGTCCCCCTTTAGAATCGGGGTTAGTTTTCTATTTGGTCCACAGATCCACCACACATCAGCCACCCCTTTTGTCTGGGTTTTACCCTCTACTGGCCAAGTGCTGTTCATAGTTACACTCACAGCACAGTCCCCTGGTGGTAGCCTACCATAGTTAACACCCTTACCTGTTCCAGTAATGCAACTGTAATTACCTCCATAAGCCTGAACTCCCGCAGGTGCCTTTTGTGGGAGAACCTCAGGGAAAATCAAACTTCGAGCTTTGCACAGGGTGGTGTTTGGCAGTGAATGGTAGAACTCTTCCAATATGCACTGCCATCCTTCCCCTTCTCCTAAAGCGAATGGGTGGGTTGCCAACCCAGGTCTTGCATGCCCACAGATAACACAATTCTGCCTGACCAGTGTCCTAGCCGTATACCTCATGTATGCCAACCACATATTTTCTTTCCCTTCATAACCAGTTTCTGTCCCCAATTGGTCGCTGTCCGTTATATCCCTAACATTAATCACCCGAACGGGGTTTGGTACCTTAGTGGATTGAAGCTGAGCTGGTCCTGGAGTGGTGATGTGGTTCAACTGGGTCTGTCTCTCCCCAGCTGCAGGTTTGGGTGTGACCACGATGGTGAACACACCCATGGTGTCTGGTCCGGATCGTACTGCTGCTAAGGTGTACACACCTGCATCTGTAAGTTTAATGTCTTGGATGGTTAGTAGGATTTCATCGCCTTTACATGCACCCCCTTTTGACCCCTGCACACCCCTTATCATTGAAAACCTAGCTGCTTTAGAAGCATCTCCTAATACATATGGATAGCCTCTACGCCATTCCCAGAAGGTGCCAACATTCGTAATCATAAAATCCCAATATGGACACCACTTTCCCTCACACAGATAAGTACCTCTCTTTAACACATGGGGATACATTTTGTTACAGTTTTCCTTCTGGTTCCAATTGCAACCAGTGTCCCCAATTCCACTAGCCCTATTCCTCCATGACCAGATCTTACATGGTTCTAGGGACATCACTTGAGATTCCCCTTCCTGTAAGGTAATGACTATATTATGATACTGACTGGATGTCACTGTTCCCCATAGGGCCAGCCCCGCTAGTAACCATAACATCCTCCCCGTCTGCAGCCAAGTCCTGTTGTACTTGATCTAGAGTTCTTCCTGGAACTATATCTTTGGCACAATGTGTTCTGTGGTACCACACGTCCTTCTTACTCGTGTTTACCCTCAGCGAGTGACTTGATACCTCTTTCACCTGAAAAGGCCCTTCCCACCTTGGCTCCGTCCACTTCCTGGAATGCACCTTCACTCTCACCCAATCTCCTACCAGGATGTCTCTGTTCTCGTCCGTGGTTTCAACAGCAGGAGTGCGCACTTCCACCACCTGTTTAGACAATTTTTCAACAAGAGAAATTAGTGCCTGCATGTAGTCTGTATATCTGATTTTTGCAATATCTAGCCTAGGCATACTAAGATTGTCTGCTGGTGGCCCTGGCATTCTGCGTCCTGTCATAAGCTCATGTGGAGTCAAGTGGGTATCAGACCCAGGT